CAAGCTTTTTATAGCTTTTCAGAAGCTTTTTCATAGCAGAAATACACTCGAAGGCTTGCCTTGGCTGCCCAGAAACGAGCGCTGCTGAAATTTTTTGCAATTCAAAATTTTGCTCTCTGCGCACCACCCTCTACAGAGAAATCAGAAAGAGTATTTTGTGCATCGGGTATCATTTATGTAGAAGATAGAAGTAGCTACTTAATTATTATACTTGATAATAAAAATACAATAAAATGTGTAGAGTAAAAATCGGGGGAAATTCCACCCGAGTTTAGCAGTATCCGGCTGGATAACCAGAAAATCTGTATTCTTACTCAAAAAATTCAATAAAAGTCAATCAAAAGTTTTCGTGTTTTATTATAAAAGATATACATACTCGGTTGGGCCGCTGTTCATAACTTTTTATTTATGACCCGATTTCAAGGTGTTGTTTTAATACCTAAATCATTTTGAAAATTCAAAATATGAGCTTGAACTTAGCTTTTGAGAAATTTTTATTGTTTTTGTTGTCATGTTAGATAAATATGTAATGCAATTCTCTAATCATTCTAATGGTTTGAGAACCAGTGTTTATATGGTCTTGCAATATATTTCAATAAAAAAAATATATATATTTATAAAAAATAATTGCATTCGATTTTCCACATTGCCCCCTGTGAGGTTTGAACTCACGACCCCTGGTTTACGAGACCAGTGCTCTACCTCTGAGCTAAAGGGACTTAATTGGTTACACAGCTTATTAGCTACTTCAGTAAGAAAAATACACAGCATTATAACTTTTTTAAAGGAAAATGATACGAATACACCATATGTGACCAGAAAAACAATTTTGTTGATTGAATGTTTGATAAACAAAGATCGAACAGGCGATAGTAGTTAAAAAAAAAAAAAATGCGTTGACAGAAAAAGATTTTTGACTTGAGAGTTTGATGTGCTGTGATAATTTTTTTTTCTGCAGAAGCAAACAAGGAAGCAGAGAACTTAACATAAATTAAATAGATAACAGTACATACATATGTAAATAGCAATAACATGAGATCTTTAAAGGAAAACTAAGGCACAAACAAAAAACAAAAACTGAAGCTGTAACAAAGTCGAAATGTTCTGTGTAGGCAAGTACAAATGTAAATATGTATGCATGTATAATGGGTTGTAGAAAAAGCAACGATGTGGCTGCTCAAAACTAAGTAAAGAATGGAGCAATGAAAACTCGAAATCCACAAGCAAACATTTAGCCAACTAAGGGAAAAAGCCAAAAGCAAACAACACAAATAGCAGCATCAATAATTTTTCCGCCGGATATTCGCTTGTTGAGCTTTGTGATTTGGCAAATGTTCGCAACAGCTGGTGACTGCAGTGTCGACCATGGACTGCTAGCTGGAGTTGATAGGAAGTAGTAGGTTCCATCCTTATGGCCACACAACGCGGGGCGATCTATTGGGTGGGCTAGGAGGGCACATAGAACTCAGCTGTTGACAGAGGAGAGGTTGTTGAAAACAAATGCAATTGTTGCTAAGTTTTTTATATTCACAAGTAAAGTAGCAGTTGTACATATAAAGAACTGGTATGAATATTTGTGCTGATGGTCACTTTGTGATTTGTGGGCAAAGCTGTAACATTTTGCAACAAAATATCCTTGTTACGCGCGAGCGGATTTCAAAGTGGACAAATGTTGGTGGAAAATAACAGAGGCAAACAAGTGGGTGTGTCTGTCGGCGTCGTGGATGAACTGCTGTTGTATATTTTTTCTTACTGTTGGCGGTTTATAATTAATAGCTTGGTTGAAAGTTATAAAAAGAAAAAGCTTCGTTGGTGTGCTCCTGAAAATTTAAGATGAATAAATCGAAATACAATGAAAGCAACATATGTACAGATGTATTTGAGTAGGAATCGCAAAAAAAACAACGTGTATAAAAATTTTGTTTCTTTTTCTCTTAGAAAATTATAAAAAAAACTGTTAAGAAAAAACTTATCCGGCAGAATTTAAATATTCTTTAATCAAGACGAAGTTTTCAAGGACACAGGTTTATGGTGCTTCGTAGTTAAATATGAACCAAGAATCTCTGAAAGTAAAATTTTTGAGGTTTTTTATTCGGTTCTTGGCAGGTTTCACTGCACCGTTCCTTAAGCGTCTTTTCCGACCAAAGCTAAATACTTAGGTGAAGACCAAAAACACTCTTTTTTAGCTTCTAGACCATCTCCAGGTTCGCATGCCGTCAGACACAAAATCTGAAAATGATAATAAAATGTCTTACAACCAGGGACACAAGAGTTATTTTCCAACGTTTATTTTTTACGTTGTCTGATAAACGTCGTATGATAAGGATATTGATGAAGATGGTGATGTACAGTAAAATAAATATGAGGGAAATCACAGTGATAGAGTGAAATAACTCTTATCAGACAATGTAAAAATAAACACCGGGTAATACCTAACTGTTAAACGTTGGGAAATAACTCTTATCCGCGAAACAATAAATATTTCTCATCTAATAACTGTTGTGAAACAACGTTTTTCGTAAAATTTCAGAATTTGGTCAACGTTTTCAATATGTAAATTCGCGATAACAGTTATCTTTGGTCCCTGCTTATAATAGCTGGGCTTATTGTCTTTGATTTTTGTTTTGCGTTTTCGATTTATTAAAAAAAAAAAACATATGTGAAGTGCCGAACGAAAACGTACTCAAAGGAAAAAATTTCCAAACACAAAATCTATTTAAAGTAAACAAAAAATCACATGGCGCCAAATCATACGCATTTTTGTTTGAAAAAAAAAAACACCATGAATATTATTTATTTTTTTCTCATATTCATCTTTCTCTATTCTTCAAAACAAGTTGTTTATAGGACTAAAATCCACCACAACTTCCGTATATTGTAGACTGATTTGACTTCAGTCTAGATTATCGAGTTTCCAGATCATCGGATGCCTGGAAGCTCCTATCGCATTTAAGTCATTATTATTAAAAATTAAATAAGAAATTTCTGGAGATTAATCTCAATGCCCAACAAATCTTTAGCTTTCGTAATGTATCCTAAAAGGAACTTGGTATACAAATTCCTTTTTATATACATATGTAAGAATCGTCGTATATAAACGTTTTAAAATGAATTAATTCTTGTCTAACCGAGGGTGGAGATTCAACAGGAATGTGTTCTCAATCCTTGTCCTTTTCCACTCTGTGGTCGCGTCACCCAGCAAATGAAAACGTCGTCGGTTATGACCAGTTAAATGCCCAGAGACTAACCTGATATTAGCCCCATTTAACAAAATCATATCCTTCCCATCGAAAGGCCACCAAAAAGCCTAGCCTGTTTAAGGCCCCTTCTGCTCCCCAGTTCTAAGTGCATTCTCACTATACCCACCCAGTAATTATGGCTTTTGAAGAAGACCAAGTGAGGTCAAGAAAATGGTTCCGCTCCCACAGTCAGTTGAGGATCCGCCGGCAACCTCAATGCATTTTACTTCATACATAATAGCATGGCACCCAGAACAGTGTCAAAAAATCAAAACATTCTTTAACAAGCTAAAGTTTGATCATTCCGTTGGACAGGGCGCAGCTGGCTATCTGAAAGGATAACTGAAAACGCTTCCCTTAACCATTTTTTAAAGTTTAATTCGTCTTCCATCCTTGAACCGTCTGCCCAGTCTTCGTGATCTGCAATTTTTGTTGGGAAATAAAAATAAATAAAATACAAAGCAGATCTCTGTTGGTCATGGAGTCAGAAAAACTGCTTTTTTCCAAACCAGATATGTCGTGTGGTCCTGAATTAATAGCTAGCCCGTGGCTGCTGTTGCTTGAACAAATATATATATGAAAAGGAGTCATTACTAGAAGCGTCTCCAGAGCAAGTACTTAAAGATCCAGTGATCGAGAAACAGGCCATCATTTGCAGTATATTGAGGCATGGTATGTCGATTTTTTGTAGCGTTTTCTGCATACGACAAAATCGGACGGACCATCGTACGGTAAAGGACTATTCTACCAAAATGTCTTTTGCAGGCCCACGTCACCCGTGTGGCCAAATAAAGAGTTATATGAATATGGAGCCTCTAATCTACTGTAGGTCCTTGCCTTCATTTTGGCATAATTCGAAATTTTTCTTTTACGACACTTTTTCATAGAGCTTAAGGCAAAACTTAAATTAGTAAGTACTTGCAATGCAAATTTTATAGAAAAATAATAGCAATATTTTCTACCCTTCTGCTATTCACGGGAGCCCAAACGCCTTAATCTCTGTCGTCATTTAACATAAAAAAAAGTTAAAAATGAATAAATAAATAATACAGAAAACATCAAATACCGGCAAATACCTGCTCACACTCCCCCACTCAACCGCCAATACTTTACTTTCGAGTGCCGTTGATAGCGCAACCCTTCTCAAGTGTGCCCATTCAAAGCGAAGTCAAGTGGTGGCAATTATTTCCATGATGACTTTTTCAAAGTGGTATCTTCAGCAGCCTTGTTGCAGGCGCGTGGGATCGCCGACCGCACGCCATAGACAACCCCAGGCGACGACGCGATTTTTTAGCGTTACGTTCCTCACCTGCTTTCATATAAACAACCGAACAATTAAAAGCATCAACTTAGCTAATTTATTAGGCGTAAAGTTAAGTAAAACGAACAAATACAGAAAAAATTCAAAAAAATAATGAAAATCATTTATTATAAAACCAAACCAAAGTAGCATACACAACAACGCCTGTTGCGACTTTTGATGCGGCCATAAATCTTTTTCGCCAATTCATTTCTTTTAAATCTTTTATCTACTAGCCAGTAACTTTTGCTGCACAGATTTATTTCTCTTTAGATTAATCATTCGGCTATTCGTGCATATATTTAACCCTTAATTTATTTAACGCATTTCTTTTAAATACACATACACACAAACATGCGTACATATGTATATACACCCGCACAGGGGTGTACCCCATTGCCTTTATGTGCATATTTTTAATTATTTTTCTATTCTTCTTCTTCTTCTACTTTTGTGCATAGATGATGACTATGGACATCACCAAAACGGAGCCCAACATGGGTCCAAATAATCCACAGAATGCGCAAAATCCCAACAACGGCAATGGCAATCCCAATATTGGTAATCCGAATGGCAACAACAACGGTCTCACCAGCGTTAGCGCCGTCGGCAATGCGAATAGTAATGCCAACAACAATAACAATGGCAATGGCAGTCAGCTGTGCGCCGGTTGTGGCAAACACATACAGGATCGTTACTTGCTGCGCGCTCTAGACATGCTGTGGCATGAGGATTGCCTCAAATGTGGTTGTTGTGATTGTCGCTTGGGTGAGGTCGGTTCCACGCTCTATACGAAGGGTAATCTTATGCTGTGCAAACGTGATTATTTGAGGTATGTGTTGTCAATAGATTACAAATTATTTCTATTTAAGAGAAAATGTTATTTTGCTAATTCATCTACTCTTTATTTTTTGTAGATTGTTTGGTAATACTGGCTATTGTGCAGCCTGCAGTAAAGTCATTCCGGCCTTTGAGATGGTCATGCGAGCGCGCACAAATGTCTATCACTTGGAATGTTTCGCTTGCCAGCAATGTAATCATAGGTGAGTGGGGAATTTTCTTTTGTCTTTGGTTATTATATTATTTGAAGAAAAAAGCATCACCACGTTTACATTTTTTCACGGACCGAAAGTAACTGTTCTTTTTTTAACAGTTAAACTTTGCCAAATATTTTTTGGGTCCGAAATAAAAGTCCTTTCCGGCTAATAAACAAACCGCTTATACAAATTAAACAAATTTGGTATCAAATGAAAGAGGACTGAAATAGCTTTTAAGCAGAAATAACGAACGAAGGTTACCACCTCTTTTTATATATTTGTATCATCATTTAATACAAAAGAAATTCATATACCTGACCCAAGATGTGTTCTATGGTAATTACATAACATTTTCCATTGAAATATTTTTCAGTAGGTGGCTCTTCTCTCTCATTTGGTACCAACATTTTTTAATTTGGATAAGCAATTGTTTATTATTAAGAAATTACTTTTATTTCGGCCTTAAAAAATATTTGGCCAAGTAAAACTGTTAAAAAAAAATCAACTGTTATTTTCGGTCCCTGCATTTTTTAATTCTGCAAAAATAGCCAGAACTTCTTGTTTGGCGGTGGTAATGTCGAAGCAATTTTAGTTAATTCCAAATATGTACAGCGCGTTGTCGTGATGCCAAGTCATTTTCCACCTCGTTTTCTCGTCGCAGAGGAAAAGGTATTTCTTTCCTACCACCAGCGGGGTATTTCGGGGTGAAATACTTCCAGGGCTGTAGCGCTTGTGTCCATTCGTACGCCATGACTAGGCCAGTAGAGCCGCCGTATTTTAATGCGATACACTACGTTTATATCTTTCTAAAGCTAATTGAGCCTATCGTTCCATCGTGTGCGGTAACCGAGCCCGCAAATCCTCCGCAAAATAATCTCTCGAATACTTCAAGTGCGACCTCGTCAGATTCATTGTCCATTTACTTTTACTTTTCCAAATTATAACTGCCGGCACTAAATTTAAGGTCAAGGCGAAAATGCGCTGACTGTTTGGCTTGACGACAGGATATACTTCACCTTGATCTCGCTTACTACCAGACCTTGAAAATAATCTTCAAAAATAGAAGTTTTTAAATTAATTTTTTTTTTTTTTTTTTTACCTAAAAACAGTACGCAATGAACTTTTCGATACAAAGGTTTATGCTATACCGGCGTCAAGTAATTAATTTCCATGGTCAGTAGAAAGAACCGATAAATATATTTAACAATTTTTTAAAAAAGTGAATTTTTACGCCAAAAGAAGGGGAAAAATTCTAAAATTTTATTCTTTAAGGTGGGTTTTAAGGTCAAGGTGATTTTCTTTTCAATCAGACCCTCAAAATGAACTGTAAAAGTAAAATTTTTGACTTTTTGCCCTTTTTTACCTAAAAACAACTTTTTTAAAAAAATTTTGAAATTGTTTTTCAGTTGTTTTAAAAGTTCATTACATACTGCTCTGAGATCAAAAAAGAAAAAAATTTTGAGATTAATATATCTGAAGTTCATTTTAGAGGTCAAGAAAATTTATTCACCAAGGCTTTTTTTACATGGGTCAGAAGGTCGCTGTGGTTGGTTGTTCTAATAGAAGTTCACAATTCTAAATTTTTTTCCTTACTTTCATCAAAAAGTAGTTATTTTTCTACACTCAAATGACAGATATCCGTATTTTGATAAATTCGCACAAAAGAAAAAAACGGTTTTTGGTCGATCTGGATAGCCCAACAAAATTTGAGAGTTTTTAGAATCAACTGTGAGCTTGTTTGTTAAACCCCGTATCACTATTTAGACCTGTAGGGTGTAACGGGACCTTCAAGCGTAACGACTGAAGTTGTCAGAAAACCAAGAAGCATTAGTTCCATCTGGCAGTTCGATTTTGATTATTAGTACTAAAAATATATGTACATAAATATGTATTTAGTTATCTGAAGAAGATAGCTGTTTTCCCTCAAACTTTTACTCCATTCCACTGCTTTTCAAAATTATCCTATTTTGCATTAAAATTGCACACTTATGTCCGTTTTTATGGCGTGTTAAGCAGTTAGCTTTATTAAAATTTTATTTCTATGGTCAATTATCGATACTAACCCATAAATTTCCTTGCGCAAGTGTAAAGAAAACAACCCTTTTGACACCTTACATATGTACACATTCGCATCTTTTAACTTCCAATCCTTCAACCCACACATGCCTTACTCACCAACGGCCGCCTTGTTTGCCTTTTTATTTGTTGTATTTCTTTCTTGCCCTTAAGTGCCAAGTAAATCTCTTTTTAATCTCGCATCAAATAATACCCAAAATGGTAGTTTAAATTTTATTATAACAAAAATGCAATCAACACCGCCACCATCAACAATATAACAAAAGTAAATAAGGCAATAATAATTCGTAAAAAGAGGCAAGCAACGTAAAGGATATATTTATAATACAAAGAGAGGCAATAACTGTGGCAAATAAACGGAGAAAATACAACAAGGCATACAATAAGCGAATACAAATCAGCAGCAAGTGCGAGTACAGTAAGTAGCGTGGATGGCTTGGGGGTGGGGGGCTTGGTTTCGTTGACTTTTGCCTGGTTGTTTTCTATACTCGTACAGATGTAGTAGATGTGCCTTAATGGCTACTCCGTTTGTTGTGGCAGCAACAATATGCGTGCTTGTTGTACTATTGCATATTTATTATACAATCCAAAGGGGTTATCCCTACGTCGGCGGGGTTCGCATAAATTGGCAATTTTCGCTTCTTACTGCTGTGAATTTCCATTTGTTCTTTAATTTTAGTTCTATGTATTCAATCTCTCCCGTTTTGACTCTGTGTACGCCCACAGAGGTGCACTAATGGAAAATCGCCGAATTTATAGCATTTGGCCAATTCTTGAAATGTCACTCAAGAGAATTTCAATGTGCCGCCTTGTAAATGCCAGCAGACGCACTTGTTTACCCTCATTCGTGAATAAATTGAATGTGCTCTTTAAAAAAACCAAAAATTTCTGCATTGCCGCAATGTTAAATTTGATTTTTCCTTATTCCCAATTCATGAACGTTGTAGGGCGTGCGCCGCATATCCATTTCCGCTTCCGTTTTGTTGGTACATATACATATTTTTCAGTGCGCCCCTATACTTTTACTTGTCTTTTTAACTTCATTGCTTATAGGCGCACAACCCTTTTGTTGTCCCATTTGTTGCGCATTGTTGTTTTTCGCTGATTTTTCACTCACAAAATAAAAAAAATATGCCTCTATTGCATGCATTATTAATATGCTTTTCTTCATTGAATGAACAACAACAATATGCGCCGGGGGAGAAGTAACCCACTGTGCCGGTACGCGGGCTTCGGTGTATTGGCCTCACTTTTGATTTCCATACACAAGCCAATCGCCTCAATTGTTTGGCCACATTGTTGTGAAACGCTGAGGCGCGTTTTTAAAATGCATATTCCAATTTTTCCACTATATAAAATATTTAAATTGCCAATTGGCTAGGACTGCTTGGGTTGGTGTGCCGCGTGTATCAATATCATTGCGATTTTTCAATACATATTTTTCGTGTAGAAAATAAGAAATAAATAAATATACATTACGTTCAAATTACTCACATAGTTTGTACTCGTATTTATTTCAGGCATATTTTTTTGAAGCCAAGAGTCGGTTATGAAAACAATTTTTGTAGAAATTGTGGGCTTTGCACCCATAGCCATAGGGTGATCAGAATCACAAAAAAAAAGCACCGAATTTACAATTTCAATATTTGTAGATTTATTAATTTAAGGCTCTGTTTTGCAAGTACCAAAATTGAAAACGTTGAACTAGCATTCCTCTCAGTTTACACTTTTTAAAATCTTTTATTTTTTATTTTTCTTTTCTACCACCCCTTAATCATTGCGGGTTCTTCACGTCTGTCTGGTTGTCAGGCTATCTAGTCCCAGCAGATTTCCTCGGTTTGCGTTGTGGGACCACTCTTCCGGATTTCCAAAAATATCAGAATTGACGAAAGTCGTCACCGACAGATTTTTTCAGCATCTGCATGCATATTCCGTTGCTGCTGTTGTTGTTGTTGTTTTTGCAGCGGCTACTTATCCCTGCCTAGAATCTGAGTCGTTGTCAACAAGCTCAGCTAACGATAGGTCCTGAAAACGTGCTGTTTCGACGGGATGAGACCAGAGGGAGGGGGGTGTTACTTGAGTTGGGTTAAGTGGGCTTGTGAATAGGTGGTACAGTGGGTACGTTGGGGTGTAGTCTGTACAAATAGGAGTTTACCCAACTACAATATCCAGACCGCAATTTAGCCAGAGTAACGCGGGTTTCTCTTGGCAGCTCATCTTCTGAGATAGAATGCGATTGTACTGCGATGGCGGCATTCAAAGGACGTGAGTTAGTGAAGGTGGTAACAGTCTCCCTTTCGTTTATTGATCTACACAGTGCCGGCGCCAGTAGTTGTTTTATTTTTATTTGACATGCCTTGGTGATGGTGCCGCCTCAACCAAGTGCCTGTTCGGTTGCTCACGTCTGCAGCGCCCTACTAAGAACTACTTGCTGAGCATGATGTTGTCTCTCTTACTGGGCTCATTTGGACCTCACTATCCAAATCGTGTTCCGGCGAAATCAGACGGCATCCCGTAGCTATTCGGATTGCTATGTTGTAACAGGTATGTAGCTTCGTCCACTGCATCCGATTTGACCCTGGTGTCCACACAGCCCCTGCTTAGTTTAGAACCGGGCCACAGTAGGAAATTTAACTATCAAAGACAAAAAACAAAAAAAGATTGTTTCACAAACGCCAGTTACGAAAGAGAGCAGGATGTCGAACGGTTACTCCGAGGATTTTTGGGTTCACTGTCGGAAATGGTACGCCATCGACGTCCAGATGGTGAAAATGGTCTCTGAGGATTTTGTTAGGCTCCTAGAGGTAGCCGTTCTACCAATATCGGGCAAGGGTCAGTATAAGACATGATGGAGACCCCCTCTGGTAGTTGAAGAAGCCTCGAAATGTTGGGGATCCCTTGGCTTTGCCGTTTTATCTCTGAAGATGACT